CAACATAGCATCCGCCTTCGAACGGCGCGACGCTCATCGGCTCCGCGGCCATCTTTGCTCTCCGCGCACGCGACCACACCTTTCCCCTAGCTAGCTATCTTCCGGTGCCTTATTTTTAGCACTAGATAGCGTTTCGCCCCACTTAATAAATTTTTCCTAGCGTTACTTTCGGTGTTCTCCACTCATCGGAGGTTGGCCTTATATTCGCGTATTGGTTCTAAAGCGTACCGATCCTGCTTCTCGCTTTATTGGTGACCCCGACTTTTGGTCATTATCCGGTGAGTTTTCGCTAACCTTTCTTTTCAGATTTGGCCACATTTTTTCGCTAACCCGTCTGATTTTCACTGTTCATTTTCCAGTTTAATCTCGCTAGCTCGCTATTTTGCTCGCTATGGAAACTGATCGCGTAGATTCTGACGTTCAGATCGGCACAGTTACGCTTCCTATCGCACCTTCTCGCGAGACTAATCCTAAGTCTTGGTTTGGTCAGCTAGAGTCGCAATTTTCTTTGCGTGGTATTAGGTCCGAAAAGACCAAGTTCCACCTTGTCGTTTCCGCTAAATGTCATCGCTGACATTGATGACATTCTAGATCTTCCTGACGACCAAAAGACTTACGATGCAGTCAAGACAGCTGTTCTGAGAAGAACAGGCTTATCCGATCGACAACGAGTTACGAAACTCCTCAACGAAACCGATCTTGGCGATCTTAAGCCGTCTCAGCTGCTTCGAAAAATGCAGAGCCTAGCTAAACCCTCTTCGATAGATGATTCTTTTCTTCGGGAAATGTGGTTGCAACGACTTCCGCGCGAGATGCTACACATCCTCTGCGTTAGTGAGGATGCACCTTTATCCAAACTGGCCGATACGGCCGACCGAATTTGGGAGTCGTAAGGCCAGGTTTCGCAGGTCCAGACGAAACGGGACGACGATATCGCCACGTTTAAATCCCAGATTGCAACATTGACTCGACAATTCGCAGACTTTTCGGCCTCCGGACATAACCGCTGTAAATGCTCTAGGAGCCGTTCGCGTTCACGTTCGAACTCTCCTTCGTGATCACCGAATAGAAACGGTTACTGCTGGTACCACGAACGATTCGGCCAGCAAGCTAAATCATGTCACCCGCCCTGTTCCTTCAAACGACAGCAGCAGGGAAACGGGCGGACCAGCACGTAGGGGAGACGGACGTAGCTGGTCAACGCAGTCGCCTTTTCTTCGTCACCGATCGTAGGACCGGAGTTCGCTATCCCGTCGATACTGGCGCAGAAGTCGACGTTCTCTCGCGTGATCCAAACGACCCGACCGGAAAGGTGACTAGCTCAATGCGCGCAGCTAACGGGACCATTATCCGCGTATATGGTCAACGCTCGCGCACGCTAAATCTCAGCCTCCGACGCGCTTCCAAATGGATATTCCTCGTTGCGGATGTTCAAACGCCTATCCTTGGTCTCGACTTCTTACGTCATTACGACCTACTCGTCGACGTTAAGCGACACCGTCTAGTCGACCGCCTTACGAATCTCGCAGTCATTGGGACTTTGACCGACACCGCGTCAATCAGTCCCGTGTACGCGACTCAACTTAGTTCACCCGTCGGGCAAACGCTGCTCAATAGTTTTCCGCAGGCCTTCCGTCCTGCCGTCCCGTTGCCTTCCGCAACCGACGCCGCGACACATCACATCGTTACGAAAGGTCCGCCTGTGTTCGCAAAAGCCAGGCGCATGACCCCCGACAAGCTCAAAATTGCACGCTCCGAATCCGAGCACATGCTAGACTTAGGCATTATTCGTCCGTCTAAGAGCCCGTGGGCGTCGCCTCTACACATGGTGCCTAAAAAGTCAGGAGACTGGCGTCCATGTGGCGACTATCGCGCTCTCAATAACGCTATCGTCCCCGACCGCCATCCGATTCCGCACATTCAGGACATCACGGCTAGCCTACGTGGCGCCCGTGTGTTCTCGAAGATCGATCTGGTTCGCGCTTACCACCAGATCCCTGTAGCCGAGGATGACATTCCGAAAACCGCAGTCATCACGCCTTTCGGACTTTTCGAATTCTTGCGAATGCCCTTCGGTCTTCGCAACGCAGCTCAGACTTTTCAACGCTTCACAGACTCTGTCACGAGAGGTCTCGACTTTGTTTATCCTTATATAGACATCTTAGTAGCTATTTCTTCCGAAGAACAGCACGCGGAGCACCTCAAGATGTTTTTCGAGAGGTTAGCCTCTAATAGCATTACTGTCAACGCTGACAAATGCATCTTTCAGCAACCATCTATCGAATTTTTAGCTCATCGAATTGACCAGCATGGCATACGGCCGCTCGAAGACCGAGTCAGCACTATTAAGGACTTTCCCGTTCCGACTACTTTGGCAGCCATCCGCCGTTGTAGTGGGATGATCAACTACTACCGTCGATTTCTGTCACGTTGTGCCGACTTGTTCAGTCCATTGACCGACCTACTTCGTGGACGCAAGAACGGCGACGTCGAGTTGACGCCCGCTGCAACCGAAGCCTTCAAGGCCTGCAAAGAGGCCTTGGCTGAAGCCGTTATGCTTCACCATTTCGATCCCAAAGCTCCACTAAGCGTTGCAGTCGATGCATCGGACACCGCCATTGGCGCCGTCCTGCAGCAATTCACTGAAGAATGCTGGAAACCACTCGCTTTCTACTCCCGACGCTTACAACCGGCAGAAGTCAAGTACAGCACGTTCAGCCGCGAACTGCTGGCAGGTTATTCTACCGTCCAACATTTCAGGCACGTCTTAGAAGGTAATTCGTTCGTTATCTTCACCGATCATAGGCCGCTTATTTACGCCTTTCGAAATCAATCAGCTCGACGCTCACCACGTGAGGTTCGTCAGCTGGATTTCGTGGCTCAATTTTCTACTGACCTCCGACACATTTCAGGTCAGAAGAACGTCGTTGCTGACGCACTTTCGCGCGTCTCCGCAATCCACACCGCTGGCCAGGCAATCGACTTATCTGCCATGGCTACCGCGCAACTAACCGACACTGACTGTCAGAACGTCAAACAAGATTCTTCGCTACGAATCACATCGCATCCACTGCCGTCATCTGATGGCACAATCTTGTGCGATACTTCTACTGGACGACTTCGACCCGTCGTTCCAGAAACCATTCGACGTCTAGTTTTCGACACACTTCATAACATCGCTCATCCAGGCATCCGAGCTACGATCAAGCTCATATCCGAGAGATACGTTTGGCTCGGAATGCAACGCGATCTTAAGCGCTGGGCACGCGGTTGTCTAACGTGTCAGCAGGCCAAGATACAGCGGCACGTGTCCGCTCCGCTTGGTCGTTTTCCGCAAGTCTCAGCTCGCCTCGCCCATGTCCATCTCAACATAGTTGGACCCTTGGCACCATCCAGAGGAATGATCTACATTCTGACCATGATCGACCGATACACCCGTTGGCCCGAGGCCGTACCTATACCCGACGTATCCGCGGACACCGTAACGCGCGCTTTCGTTGAGCGCTGGGTCGCTTCACATGGCTGTTCAGCCACCGTGACTACCGACCGCGGTCCGCAGTTCGAATCCTCGACCTTCAACGATCTTCTCAAAGTCCTCGGATGTCAACGCATCCGGACTACCGCCTATCACCCGCAATCCAACGGCATGGTGGAACGTTTCCACCGACAGCTGAAGGCCTCACTTAGTGCCGCTAATGCACTAAGCTGGACCGAAGCACTGCCTATGATACTACTTGGTATCCGATCAGCTCTTGAAGCTGATTTTCACACGTCCAGCGCCGAACTGGTATATGGACAACCTCCTCGACTACCTGGAGACTTCTTTTCTGGAAACCCCAGAACACCCCGCTACGACGCGAATTGCGCTCGGCAGTTAGCCACGAGCATGCGCCATATCAAAGTAACCGACGTGCGAGAACAACGACGTAAATCGTTCGTTCCACAAGATCTACTGCATTACGCTTACGTTTTCCTTCGAGTCGATGGTCTACGCAGACCACTCGAACGACCCTACGAAGGTCCATTTAAGGTTCTTAAACGTAAGGACCGCGTATTCGTTATCGACCGTCACGGTAAACGTGAAACCGTCTCTATCGACCGTCTCAAGGTTGCCCATGTGGAACCTGAGATCGACGATGACTCCCGTCCACCTTCGGACGAGTCAACGCAGCCTATGATCGACGACACGCCTACTTCCGATGCTACGAAGCATTCTCCGACTAACCCTTGCGACTCAGTTCCTTCCGATTCTATCGAACCGAAAGCTTCCTCATCCGACAAAACTGCTGGATCGACAACGCCTCCGACCGAACGTCCGAAATCGACTAGGTCAGGTAGGCGGGTTCATTGGCCAGCGCGATTAAAAGATTAGACTTCTTTTCATTCTTCCTTTCCCGCTTCCTTTTTGCTTGCGGCCTAACCCGCCCAACAAACGGCAGTTTTGAAAACCCAAAAAATTTGCAAAGCGTTTTGAAAACCCCAAAAACCGCAAAAAACGTTTTGAAAACCTAAAAAGGAGAAAATCGTTTTGAAAACACAAAATGGTTCTCGCTTTATTCGCTTATCGCACTCGATAAGTGCTATCGCCTTTTGTTAGCTCTGTCGCTCGCACCTCTTTGACACTCCGCGTTTTTGCTTCTTTTTCATATCCCCGACACGCGGACGTTCAACGACAATCGAAAATTACGTTTTTGGACACTACGTGCTCAAACATCATGTGCTGTGACACTACGCACTCGAACGCTACGAACATTTCCCCCCATTTTGTGTTTTTGGCACCTGTAGGGAGGACACGGGTGGGAGCCCCCTAGCGTCCGATCGCATTGGTTCTCCCCCAGCAGCTGCATCAGGTTTCACCGATTGGTCTCACAGAAGGCTGGCCGGCGACGGACAGTCCTCACGTAGATCGAAGGGTCACCTACGGTTCCCTTCTAAGAGGGGGGCTGTGTAGTGACCTGGAGATTCCCCTGTTTGGCTGCCGCATGCTGCGTAAAATATTACAAAATCACCAAATTATATTTTCTCGATGTACATAGCAAATTAGCCGCTTGCCTGTTTGAACGTTGCTCGCGTTTGTTTGAGTCAACATAGCATCCGCCTTCGAACGGCGCGACGCTCATCGGCTCCGCGGCCATCTTTGCTCTCCGCGCACGCGACCACACCTTTCCCCTAGCTAGCTATCTTCCGGTGCCTTATTTTTAGCACTAGATAGCGTTTCGCCCCACTTAATAAATTTTTCCTAGCGTTACTTTCGGTGTTCTCCACTCATCGGAGGTTGGCCTTATATTCGCGTATTGGTTCTAAAGCGTACCGATCCTGCTTCTCGCTTTACCACCACGCCCTCCGAAACGGCTTTGGAAAGGAAGTAGGTGGAAGAAAAAAAGGAAAGAAACTCCATAAAGTAGAAGGCAGTTATATCAGGGAATTCCGTGGTGTAGCTCGGCCAGATGACAATCTAGGCGGGTCTTAAAATACGCTACAGTGGATGCCGAGACTAAATCGGCAGACAGAGCATTCTACGGTCGGCAGATTCGCAAAGCGAAGTAGTGTCGTCTGCAGTTCAGCCGACTGTGCTGATGTGTGTCCCCCAGTGGGTGGCCACGTAGGTGGGAGCAAAATTGGTGCAGTGTGAGTAGGTGGCGACAGGGATGTCCAGGGTTGGACAAAATCATAAATACAAGTATCAGGTCATACCGTAGACGTCGGTACTTAGGCGAGTAGAGGTCCAGGCAGTGAAGTCGTTGTGGATAATCTAGGTGCTTGAGACCTCGGACCAGTTTTGTTGCTCGACGTTGTGGGGCTTCGAATACACGTTGGTCCTTCAACAACCAGGGGTTCCAAGCCTGAATAGCAAAGTGGGGTCGAAGAAAAGCGTTGAGGAGACGGGAATTGGTAGGGTCAATTTGCCCGAAGGCTCGTTTCAGAAATTCCACCAGGCGGTTAGCAGCAGCAGCTGATTCCCGGCAGGAAGCAGATATGGAGAGACTCGTCTGGGTAATGATACCCAAGTCTCTTTCGGCTGAAGAGATCTGGAGGATAGAAGCTCCCAGGTAATATATAGGAGAAAAAGCGGAAGGGTGAGACATTTCGAAGCGTTAAATGGAAGGTTGATTTCTATGGACCACTGATGTAGACGGTCGACGCCCGTCTGAAATGCGTGGGCATCGTCCGGAAGGTTAATTGTGCGCCACAGCTTCGCGTCACCTGCAAATAGTAGCAGCGAAGACTCCACTTGCGGTGTGACGTCATCAATGAAGGATAAGAAGACGTGCGGTCCGAGAACAGACCCCTGTGGAACTCCGCTTGTGGCAAGGATGCGGGGAGACAACGCTCCGTCGACACGTACTTGAACGGTACGGTTTTGAAGGTAGTTCCGGATCCAGTCCATCAAGGCCCCTGAAACGCCGTAAGACAACAGTTTCTGTAGTAGAATGTTGTGGTCGACCTTATCGAAGGCTTTGGTGTAATCCAGGAATATAACATGCGTTTCTAGACTAGAGTCGGCAGCAGTCGTCCAGTTATTCCTGCCAAGTCGCAGGTTACTCAGGCAAGACCGTTGCCGCCGGAAACCGTGCTGGCAATCGGAGAGCAGTTTCTGGGCCTCCATGTGGTCCATTAAAGCGTCTGCGACGATCGATTCCATCACTTTGGAGATCGTAGAGAGGAGAGCTATCGGTCGGTAATTGACCGGATCTTTGCGAATACCACCTTTGCAGATTGGTGTAATAGTCCTACATTTCCAATTATTGGGAATTTTGCCTTGCGAGAAGAAGTGGGTGAACATCTCCGCTAGGGGTAAAGCTAGAGCTGCAGCGCACGCTCGCAAGAGACTTGGGTGGAAACCATCAGCGCCAGAAGAGGCCGTTAGCTGCAGAGATTTGAGTTGCGCCAAGACATTCTCCGGAGTGAAATGAACAGTCGTCAGAGAAGTTGGGGTGAGACCGAAGAAGGTACTATCGTTGTATGCATTGATGGAACGGAGAATGTGGATGCGTACTGCTGGCACAGGACTTATGCTGCCTCGTTCGCTAACTTCGTAAGCCCTGTGGGGGTCGTCAATGCGTTGACACCGTGCTTGACTTGTCGAGGACTGTTAACGTGACTATACAAGGCTTTGGAATTGGATGAAAAGTTACGCACAAGCTGATGCTGATGCTCGCTCTTATCTTCTCGTACAAGATGGACGCATTGGTTACGGATGGATCGGTAATATTCCCATTGAGTAGCTGTTGGATGGGAGCGATATTTTCTCCATGCCGTGTCCCTGGAGGCAATGCACTTCCGTGTACGACTTCGGATGAGTGCTGGGCATCTCTTCCCTATGGAAATTTCTTTGCAGGTCGTCGTAGTGGAGCAGAGTTCACGTAGGGTAAGGCAAAAGCTTGACCACACGCTGTCGGCGCACGATTGGGGCTCGGGTGACCAGCTGTTAGCGGAAATGAAAAAGTGCAACTTTCCGTAATCAGTCCAGCGTTTGATATAAGTTGGCGTGCTGACGGGTTTTTCGGCGAAGCATATAAAATTGAAACAGAGGACGCAGTGGTCGCAAAGCCCCAAAGGGGCATCATACTCAACGTGCTCAACCATCAGTTCTTTGTTAGTGAGGACGAGATCTAGCAGGGTTGGTTGGTTGTTGGATCGGAATCTGGTCGGCTGTTACGTGTGGTTGTACAACGGGGCCGTGTGAAGAAAATCAATGAGGCCTGATGCAAAGGAGTCAGTAGACGGGACAGAGTGAAATAAACGGGGTAGGTTGAGATCTCACATGATAAGTGTGTGCGCTTGTGGGAGAACATAAGGTGGACGTCGTGCAATAGTTGTGCGTCCTTCTCGGGGGAGTTGTTAGGGGGCGGTAAATAATATCAAGACAGCTGGAGTGTTTGGCGGTTAGTACGACCTCACACCACATGGTGTCTGAAGACTGGAGGGCAGTGTTTGTCAACATGCTGCAACTGAAGGAGATGTCATAGTACAGTGCGACACCGCCACCTGGGGTTGCGCGGTCAGAGCGAAGAACTGACATGTGAGGAAGTTGGATTTCACCGTCGGTTATGTCGTCGGAGAGCCACGTTTCCGTTATGGCTATTAGGTCCGCTGGCGTTGACAGAAGTCGGGATTGGAGATCCAGGAGTTTGGACATGAAGCCCTGTTCGTTCGTGTAGATGCAGGCGAAGCCCGTTTGAGTGATGAGCGTGGGAGTACCTAGGGTGCTGCCGGTCAACAGATGACCGGCAGTGCGCCGTTTTTTGGTTTAGAAGGGTGAAGCCACTAAGGTTTGTAGTTGGGGAAGCAAGGTGTGGGTCATCGGAGCACAAATGGGTGCTGGCGCCTGGGTCGTTGAAAGACTGAAGGTTGGAATGTGTAGGTGAGCAGATTACTCCAGGCAGTGAGGCAGATGGTTCGGTGATGGACCGTCTGAGGACGGTTTGGTCAGAGTGTGTCGGTACCGAGTTGGCTGCTGCTGCTGCTAGGGGTCTGTGGGAAGCTGTGCGCCTCGGCACCGGGTGCCCATCAGGACGCAGACGGACATCTGGTGGTGCTCGCCTTTTATTAACATACCAGATGGTGAGTGCATCGGTTGCCATGCTAGCGATGAGGAATGTCACTTACAGGAGATGGGGGGGGGGGCTGTTCCTGTATGACATGCTGGAGGAGGTAGGCGGTGAACATCAGTTGTGATTACGTTGACAATATTTAGTGTCTGCTGAAGGAAACGCCACTGATTACAGTCATGCTGTTGTCGTTGTTGCAAGGTTGCGTCAAGGGCATGCAGTTCTGGAACGCCATGCACTATGATGGAGAATGATTGAGTGGGTGGCGTCAGTTGCTGCCTGCGTGCAGCGCGCTTAGTCCAAGAGATGTCGGGGAAGATACGAATTTTGTAAATGCCGAGAGACGCGTTGTTTCGGAGTAGACGTGCTGACAATAGGACATCCTCCATAGCCTGACCTGGCTGCAAGTCAACACGCAGAATTCTTGGCATACCGGGGCTCGGAGATGAAGGGTGGCGAGTCAGTCTGGTGAGACTAATGGGTTTTGTTCCAGGGAAGTTAAACGCGATACAGATTGAGCTTCGCATAGTGGAATCACGAGAATGTCGATTCTGAAGTTGCGGGTAGTTGGATTCGGGCAAGTTTGTACATATGACAGAATTAGAAGTAGGGCTACTCGTTATTCGCTTAGACGAACGCGGATGTGGAGCAGTAGCAAGCTTACTTGGTGGGAGGGCCTCCGACGAAAGCGTTGGTCGTCGGCGAGTGTTAGACAGATCAGCAGTTGGTAACGGTGAGACGATACGTGATTCAGAACGGTTGGGAGGTTGCTGCCGTCGTTTGGCTAGGCCGTGGACTTTCCGCAGTAGGCTTTGTAGCTGTTCTTCCAGATTAAGCAAGCGCACTTATGATCGGGTATTGTTGCTAGGCTGTTCGAAGAATAGTGGTGACCGGGGTGACTGCTTGTTACGCGGAGTGGAGGGCGGGTTAGTAGGAGACGAGATTGCAGTGTAGGAGCTTTAACTTATTCTGTTATTTTTAGCTTATCTCTCTTCGCACAGGGAAGATACTAGCCACAATCATGTGACTTCCTAACCACAGCATTCAAAAGCTATTGATGTGCATACAATCAATAGACAACTTACTTTGAACTCTGGATTATACCATCTAGTCGGCCGGTGGCCGAGTGGTCTGCACGTTTGCTTTGCAACCATAAGGTCACCGGTTCGAATCCGCGTAGGGGTGGGCGTCCTCGCGGTATACTCAGCCCGCGCGCGACTGGTGGTGGTCGCGCGGCAGCGAAGCGCCGTTACGGCGTACAGCTGTGACATTATTATTATTATTATTATTATTATTATTATTATTAGCCAACTATCCCCTGTGTTTTCCCTGTGCAATCTTTCTGCCCTACTGTCGTAGTGTATTTTCGGGAGCCTCCCAAATATATCACTGGGATACCAAAAAGATTTCATTTCTAACATCCAGTAAGGACGACGGGACATGGCTATTTTCGGACTCCGCACCTAAGCAGCGCTCCTACAACAGAACCAAGTATAGGGCAAGTCGTAGAGAAAGGTCGCAAGGAATATCGTGCTCGTAATCCGCAATCCTGGGAACGCAAACCGGGCAAA